CCGAAGAGAAATATCAGAGAGGCCTCATTTTGTATAACAACAAGTGCCCTGCCCAGTAACTCTGAGCTGGCTACTTAGACACCCCAACACATGCAAATCAACCAGAAGCACAGGGCTTGATTTTCACTTCTGCCTAGACTTCCCTGAGCTTCCTGGGGAAATACAAAGAGGTTCATTCTCCTTTGCTAGAGACCGCATTCTCTTTAGAATCCTTTTTAATAGGAATGCTTCCCAGCTCCCTCTGCTATAGTCAGACTCCCAGAGGAATTCAGGTATTCTCAACTTCCCTGAACCATAGAAATAGCTCCTCTAGGGGGTAGCTTTCCCAGGTGCCCTGCTGTCCAGCATCTAAACTGATGCAATGACTTTTTAATCAGGAACGTTGGAAGTATGTGTGTGTCAGGGCCAAAAAATCTCTGCCACCCACCTCCCACTTCTGTTACATCCTTAAACTGTAGCAGCTCCTCCAGCTTTGTCTTGCATGTGTCTCTGAGTACTGGTTAACTTCCAAGATCTTCTCAGACTCATAGTACAAAGTGATTTGTCTGCACGCTGCTAAAGCCAACTATCCCCGCCCTTCCCTGCTGAGGATGGAGGACAGATTCATTGATGTTTTGCACCTTGTGCAGTCATTTACACCAGTTCACAGTGGGGGCAAAATACCACCAAGTCAGAATGCTTTTCCCCAGTGGTGACAATGACCTCGCAAGGTGCAGGGTTGTGGTCAATCAGGTTTGTGGTCACCAACTGCAATGAGCTTTGCATAATGCTTTACACCCCACTCCTGCTTTAAAAGTGAAGCTCCTATGTCAACTGAGAGTTCTTTGAGTCACAGAATGTCAGGTGAACATCTCCCTCATTTCCATCTCTATCTCCTCCTCCCTGGGCAAAGACTAGGAGGCATTAATGTAGCTTCAGCAGCCTGACTCCTGCCCCAGCTCAAGGATGAGCACTGGACAATCCTTCCCCAAAGGGCTGGCAAAGAGCTTTAGTGCCAAACCTTCTGTGAAACTCATCCTGCTGGGCTCTCATTCTGTCCCAGACACACTCCATGCCTGGCTGCCCACCTGGTCATCATCCACACGGCCACAGACTATAGAATTATTAGCTGCCACACTGCAGCTTCTTCCTCTGACCGGCAGGTAGTTTAGAATTAGAAAATCCAGCAAGAGACAGGACAAGTTTCAGACACTGACACTGCAAAGAAAGGTATCTTGCTGCTCTCACTGTAGAAGAGGATAGGATTCACTACAAATCTAAAAAGAAGGGTCCCTCTTATCTACTCTTAAGTCCACTCACCCCATTGGAGAGAAGAGTTGTAACCAGAACCATCTCTATCACAAATGACTATGGCATAAGGTGTCTGAGTCCCACACCACCGTGTGGCCTCAGGGTGGCCTCACAAGGGGCCCTTGCCTCAGTTTCCCCAACAGACTTTTTCAGTAACTCCTAAATCCTCCTCCCATTCTTGCTCTTTCTTGGAGTCTATGTCTATTAAATTAATAAACATTTTAACTAAAATTTTAAAGTCCCTTCTCAAGTTCACCCATTTACTCCTGTATCAGGTCATGTCCAGGACTTTCCCCCCTAAGTTCCAGCTGTTCCCCACAGCCCTGTACTCACTCAACATCTTTCTTAGCAGTTCCCTGATGGTCTCAGTGTTCTCTGCTAGAGCCTACTTACTTCCTGCAGCCCTTGTTATCAATTTCCATTGCCCCACTGGCCTCCCTGGGGATTTCCTTTCTGTAGCTTCCTGTTGCTCTTTTGAGGGGAATTAGCTTGATCAGGTGTCTCCTCAGTAACTACGGTTGACTGGGCCCAGGACTTTAGCCCTTAGGGGAGCAAACCATCCTGTTGCAGGGTAGAAGTAGGAATTAGAGGATTAGACCATGGGGAAAAAATGTAGAGTTGAATCTCAGGAGCTTCTTGGCAGTGGGGTATGTGAGGCCGTGGGACTGTCTTCTTAAAAAAAGGGAAGGGAGCCCCATTGCTTGGGATATTTAAGCTCATGTGGGTACAACCCTGGAGAACAGACTGTGGGGACCAATCCTGCCTTGGGCCCAAGGGACAAATGGATTAGATGGAACCTAATGGGACATTTCTATCTCTTAAGATCTAGGATTCTTTAAATCAATCCCCCATTGAGGCAAAGTAACGACCCAAGGAGGCTGCCCTAGAAAAGAAGGACCTCATTCCACACTCTTCCCAAATTGTTGCTTCCTAGTCCCTTTTCAGGCCTTCACACTGGAAAGATAATTAGAATTTCTTATGCCCATTCATCACCACTATTTTGGGGCTAGCTGGCAATGTTGTTTCTCTTCCATGTTAAGGACACACACTGCCTCATGTCCTTTGCTGGGAGCCTGTGTGCTGCCATTCAAAAGGGGTTAGAATTGCAGCAGAAAATGTGGATCGGACTCCCTTTGTGCCAGGAGCACAGTATTCACATGTCCTCATGGTTCATTCAGCACCTCACTTAATGAGCTAATCTGATTCTGCACCCTGGAATGAAGTCTCTGCTGTCCTTTTCAGCCAAGAATGGAAGTCCCCAGGCAACCCAAGAGTGTAAGGTCTACTCTCACAGATGGTGGAGCTGTGTTGGCTACAGTATAAGGATAGATCAAGAAAGTCTTCTGTCACACCAGATACGCTCTGTTCACATGCCCTTCCAATACTCCTCAGTGCTTACACCTGCCAGATAAAACACCCTGGTGGGGAAACAAGTGGAGAAGGGTTGGGGTCCAAAACCCCTGCACACCCGTAAATATTTCATCATCTCTGGTCCTCAAAATTCACCCCAAGTTCAGAGATGTCAGAATTGTTTCCATGAATCCCAGGAACCTGATCCCAAACTCAGGGCTCCTGGAATGATTTTCCCTAACTTCAGAGACCTCTGAGTTCTCCCCGCTGTGTCAGAGCCCTGAGATTTCTCCCCATACAAGGTCTTACTATTCCCAGCTCCCTTTCCTATTAAAAGTTGCTTCTTGAGCATTTGGACTCCACTTCTGGAGACCTGGACAACAGAAGGAGATGACACCATGCTCTTCCTTCCCTGGGTGTTGCTGTTTACATTTGAGAGGACAGAGCCCAGGAGACAAATGTTGTATCTAGGACAGCAGCACACAGCAAGCCTGAGACTGTCACGGGACCAGGCTGAGCTTTGCTGCTAGACTCACATTATCCAGCTCTGTGGCTGAGACTCTTCCTCATGGTGGACCCTTCCAGAGGCAGCTTGAATTGTTTAATTTGCATGCAACACGCCCCCATGTTGCATGCAATGGCTTCAGACAATTCAAATAGGCAGCATTAGAACTAAAAGGAAGAGAGTGGGCTACTCTTTGCAGAGCCCCATAAAGCTGTTTAGCAGAGGAAGCACTAGAACCTAATGACAGTATGCACAAGGGCTCTCACCCTGCCTTACAATGTCCAAACACCATGCCAGCTTCCCCTCAAAATAATGGCAGATATTCCCTTTCCCCAATTCTCAGACTCCTAGACACATCACAGAATTACATGTGAAACATTAACCTCTGATAACAGCATTTCTCAGTATAAGTATATACAATACAGTACAGGTCTCATCTCCCTACCCAGCTCAGACTCAGTTCTAGGCTTAGTGCCCCACCATTCATGAAACACACATCTGATAACCAGATGACACTTGCTCAGAATTTCAGAAAAACAAACTACATCAGCCCCTCAAATCACAGGAAAAATAGTGGCATGGCCTATGCAAGACCAAATATCAGGTGCTGCCCCCTGTGCACCCCTTTGCTAATTCAGCTCTTCAGAAGTCAAACTGGCAGGCATCCTGCCACCCAAGCCTACCTGTATCCTTATCTCAGCTAGGCAGCTGTAGGTTCTGCTGTCCCCCTCTGCTCCTATCCCTGCATCTGCCTGGAGCTGTTAGGCCCATGTTGTGAACAGCTTCACAGCCTTCAAATTAAAAGGGCTCTATGTCCCAAATAGATGGGGGTTTTTGGTATTTCTGAGAGGATCGGTTCTAAATCTGCAACACTCTCCTGGGTTTGTTTTGTTTCAGGTCTGTACCTAGGAGCATACACAGGGGTCCTGGTCTCTGAGGTGACATAAGAAAGAGGAAAGAAGGAGGAAGGAAGTATTTCCTGGGGAGGAAATCTGTTTTGGGGAAGGGGGTGTGTTTTTTGGCTGTGAAGTCTTCTGTGTTGGGGAAAGTGTGTGTGGGGGAGAGAAAATAGGGGCAGTTCTGGGGCTTCCATGGGAAATAGGATTTGGAAGTAGTGTGGGAGGAGATGACTGGAAGTAGGTGTGGATGGTTGGGTGGGAGGTGTTGGGGAAGCATGAGTGGGAGGTAGGAGGGGAATATAACGGGAGGGTTCCAGGGTCGGGGGTGCTCCAGGATGCTGTGGCGAGATTTCGGGTTGGAGAGGGGATGCTTGTGTGTGCATTTCCATCCCTCCCCCACAACACACACACAAAGCCAGCAGGAAAAACACTGCCTACCATGCAGATTGCCGCTGTGCTGCCCAGAGCCCAGCCCTCCCCACTGAGCTGCAGGGCGCAAGCCTTCGCCTGGCTGCAAAAGAGAGCAGGAGCGCTCTCCGCAGACCCCACCTGTTCCAGGGCACACGGCTCCTTCGCAGCCCCGAGCAGGGACGGGGCCTGACCCTCTGGCCGGGGGAGGGGAGGGGTTACACTGCCCCGAGCCAGCTGTGGGGCAGGGAGACGGGACCCGGCTGCCCCAGGCAGTCATTGTTCCGCCCCGGCAATACAGCCTGTGCATGCCCGCTCGGGGGAGGGGGTGGGGCGGCCTTTGCCCCTTCCCTCGCCCAGCCTCCTCGGTGGGGAACGGGCACCGCCGCAGCTCCCAGCCTCTGCCAGCGGCCGGGGGCGCAGAGGCGCCTGCAGCCTGTGCCCACAACGGGGATCGATGGGGGGGGGGAAGGGGCTGCGCCAAAGATCTGCAGCGACCCCCCCCCCAGGAAAGGGACAGAGGGGCGGGGGCGGGGAGGCTGCGGGACCTGAAATTGGGGGGCGAGGCGAGGTGCAGCCCCAGGAAGGGAGAGGATCCGGCCGGGGACGTGGCTCCTTTCTCTCGCTCCGCCATTCTCTCTCTCCATCAGGCGGAGGGAGGGGAGACGGATGCTGCCGACGCTGGCAGGGGAGGGCAGAGCGGGGCCGCCAGGCAGGAATTCACCTGCGGCAGGCCCCGGGGGCTGGCAGCCAAGGGCGCCGCTCAAAGCCGAAGCCCCCGGAGGCCGAACTGCCCGAGAGGAGCCCCCAGGGGACTGCCGCAGCCTGGCTCCCCCTCCCGCCGGGCGAGCTGCAGCAGGGCGACGGTGCCCAGGAGCCCCACGCGGGAGGAGGAAGCAGCGGCTGGGCGCGTCCTGCTCCTCGAGGAGCGCCCGGGACAGGCGGCAGGGAGGGAGCGGGGGGAAGGCAGGAGCAGGAGAGAGGGGATGGGCTGGGGAAGGCAAAGGAGAGGAGGGGAGGGAAAGGGAGGAGCGGAGGACGAGGGGGGAGGGGATTGGGCTGGGAAACGGGATCTCGCAGGGAGAGGGATGTGTGGGGCTGGCAGTGGGTGAGGATGAGGGTGGCAGCGGCTGAGGAAGAAGGCTGACAGGTGATGAAGCGTCCTACTACTCTCTGTGAAAGGCTCCTAGTGAGAGGAGTGGATGGGTCCTTACATAAAAGCAGGTGCAGTCCCTGACCTCTTGAAGATCCAAGGAGTAGGAGGGGGGAAAAGGAACCAATGACCCTCTCCTACAAAACCGAACACTCCCTTCCCATCTTGGAGACCTCCAGGGTAGCACCCCACTCCTCCCCACCCAATGTCTCAGCACAGCCGTTAGGACTGCAGGCACCAGACCCCCCTCCCTCAACCCACTACTTACAGCCAAGCAACTGCGGGGGCCCTGCAAATGCAGCCGGGGTTGGAGCCAGCAGAGGGGGTAGGCTGCAGCCAAAGCTGCTAGGCAGTAGCCTCCAAGGGGCCTGGAAAGGGCAAGATAATAAAATCAACAGGTATTTTAATTTTCCAGGCTTGCCTGTCCCCTCCCCCTCCATGCCTCATCAGCACCCTGACCCAAACGGGGATGGTAGATCCTATTTTTCAGACATTGATGAAAGCAGAGTTTGCCCTCCTGAAGCATGCCTGTCCCTAGAGATGGTTGAATTACTGCTACTCAGGAACTGTTTGCATTATGGTCACAGCAGGGGGAGGTTTAAAGCCAGATTTCAAACAATTTTCATTGAAAGAAAGAGGTGGAACCATTTCTATTCATGGCAGGGTCCACTAACCTACTATTTCTACTCCTTGCTCTTTAAACTATTTCTACTCCTCCCCTCCTTTAACCATACCACCAGGTCTAGAAAAAACGCCATATTGAGTCCATGCTGAGATGGCATTTAAATCATTTTCATAACTTTAGTAGCACTGCTTAAGGAAATAACATACATGAAGCCTCTTATGGAGCGTGGGGAGCCATCCGGCCCTGACCCCCCATCTGCAGCCAGATGTGACTCTCAGCCAGCAGGCAGAACAAAAGGTTTATTGGTTCACAGGGTACACAGGAATTGGGAGCAGTCAGTACAATCCATTTTGGCAATAGAGGGGCCCAGAGCCTCCCAAGCCAGCTAGATGCCCTCCATCCTGATTCCTAAGCCAGCTGATATTAACTCACAAACCCAGCAACCAGTCCCAGCCCTGCAGGCAGCCCCGCCTCCCTCTTTGTCCAGCTCCCGCCCCCTCTCAACAAAAGATGTTACCTGATTGCATCTCCCACCTAGGCTCAGATTACAAGACAGCCTGAGCCACTGTGTATGTGCTGGGCTAGGCAGCCTGGAGCAGCCTCCCTCAGTGAGGGTGTGTCTAGACTACAGGATTTTTTCGAAAAAGGTGGCCTTTTTTCGAAAAAACTTCCCGAGTCTAGACTGCCACCATGTTCTTTTGAAATTAAATCGAAAGATCACAGCGGTTTTTTCGACTGTGGTAAAGAAGAGGTTACTTACCTCGTAACTGTAGTTCTTTGAGATGTGTTGTTCACATCCATTCCAATTAGGTGTGCATGCGCCAAGTGCACGGATCCCGGAGCTTTTTTCCCTTAGCAGTATCCATAGGGCCAGCCAGGTACATATCCGCACACATATGTCCCTGCTGGCCCCTCCACCCCCTCAGTTCCTTCTTGCCAAAGTCCTCTGACGAAGGGGAGGTGGGTGGGATTTGCAATGGACATGAGCAACACATCTCAAAGAACTACAGTTACAAGGTAAGTAACCTCTTCTTTTTTGAGTGCTTGCTCATGTCTATTCCAATCAGGTAATTCCCAAGTCGTGTCCCCGGCCGTGGGGTCGGAGAGTAATGATATCTTTCTACAGATTGCAGCCCTTCCCACAGCTGCATCTGCTCTGGCCTATTGTGTAATGGCATAGTGTTCTGAGAAGGTATGTACGGAGGACCACGTGGCCACCCTACAGATGTCCAGGATAGGCACTTGTGCCAGAAATGCCACGGATGTCGCCTGCGAGCTCGTGTGGAATGTGCTCTCAGTGGGGGAGGTGTCTTACCACTCCATGGTAACATTCATGAATGCATGAGGTGATCTAGGAGGATAAGCACTGAGCTGAAACTGGAACTCCCCTCATTCTTTCTGTGATGGAAATGAAGAGTTGTGATGACTTACGGAATTCCTTTGTCCTGTCTATATAGAATGCAATGGCTCTCCTCACATCCTGGCAATGCAAAGCCTGCTCTCTGGTCGTCTTGTGTGGCTTAGGGAAGAACACAGGTAAATGTCCTGGGATATATGGAAATAAGATACCACTTTAGGGAGAAAGGCCGGGTGAGTTCGTAGTCTGAACTTAACTTTAAAAAGACTGTGTAAGGGGCTCTGAGGTAAGAGACTGTAGCTCTGATACCCTCCTGGCCAAGGTAATTGCTACCAAGAATGCCACCTTCCATGACAGATGTTTTAAAGAACAGGTGGCTAATGGTTCAAATGGTGGCCGCATGAGTCCCTTAAGGACTACCTTAAGGTCCCATGGAGGAATAGGGGGACGTATATATGGTAATAGTCTATTGATTCCTTTCATGAATCTTTTCACCATGCTGTTAGCGAACACTGACCTTCCACCCTCCCTTGGTGGACGCCCTGGTGTCTGAGCTATAGTAGATAGTCTAATATTAGAGGAATATTGGCCCTGATTGAGTCAATGCCCCTTTGTTGTGTCCACAACGCGAATCTCTTCCACTTGGCTTCATAAAGGGCTCCGGTAGATGGCTTTCTACTCTCCCTTTGGACCTCTTGTGAGTACCTTGGTTCTAGGTTAGAAAGCCACTCAGGTTCCAAGCTCTAAGGTGGAGGGCCGTCAAGTTCAGATGGCATAGTGTCCCCTGCCCCAGATCTTGTGTGATTAGATCCGAGACTAGGGGTAGTCGCACCAGGTCCTCTATTGACAATTCTCTCAGGGTGGAGAACTAGTGTTGTCAGGCCACCTTGGCAATATCATGATGACCCTTGCCCTGAAACGCCTGACCCTGACTAGAGTGTCCTGTATTAGTGGGAACAGAGGGAATGCATACAATAGCTGAGTGGGTCATTGTATATGTAGAGCGTCCCCTAAGGGCCTGATTCCCTGTCTCATGAAATAAAAGTATTTCCGGCACTGGGTATTGGTCTTGGAGGCAAACAGGTCCAGAAAGGGATAGCCCCACCTCTGGAAAACCTTCTCTAAAATCTCTCGTGAGCATCCACTCGTGGACTTGAAAGGAACGGCTGAGTCTGTCTGCCAGATTGTTGCTGGACCCGGGAAGGTAGGTTACATGCAAGTAGATGTTCCTGGATATGCACAATTCCCGGAGTTTGAGAGCTTCCCTGCACAGGGGAGAGGAATGAGCACCCCCCCGTCTGTTGATGTAGTACATGGCTGACGTGTTGTCAGTTAACACCTCCACCACCTTGTTCTCTAGATGGGGCAGGAATCCGTGACATGCTAACCTGACCACCCTGAGCTCTTTGACATTTATGTGCACAGAATTCTCCTTCAGTAACGATAGTCCTTGTGTCCTTAGGGTTCCCAAGTGGGCTCCCCACCTGACATCTGATGCATCCATCACTAACTGCACAGATGGGGCTTGCTTGTTGAAAGGGACCCCTGCACATACTACTTCCTCCTGTGTCCACCAGTCTAGCGAGCATAGTACTGATTTTGGGACAATAACCACCATGTCCAGAGGCTGTCGCACTGGGTTGTGGACAGTGCTTAGCCACCCCTGCAGTGGATGCAGTCTGAGTCTGGCATGCATCATGATGTACGTACAGGCTGCCATGTGACCCAGCAGTCACATACAATTGCAGGCCGTGGATATGGGGGACCTCTGAAGGCCCACAATCACTGATCACAGTCTGAAATCTGTGTCTGGGCAGAGATGCTGTCTCTGTTGTGGAGTCCAGACAGGCGCCTACAAATTCTATTACTTGTGAGGGGATTATGGTGGACTTTTCCTCGTTTATTATGAGGCCGAGTTGGAGAAACAGTCATCTGGTGTTTGAGATGTGCCTCATCACTTGTTCGAGACGACCCCCGTATTAGCCAATCGTCCAGGTAAGGAAAAACATGTATGCCTTGGTGCCTCATAAAGGCTGCCACTGGTGCCATACATTTGGTGAATACACTCAGCACCGTGGTGAGGCCGAATGGTAGGACTGTGAACTGGAAGTGCTCGTCACCCACTACGAATCTGAAGAATCTCCTGTGGGCAAGGATCACTGTAATATGGAAGTAAGCATCTTTTAAGTCGAGGGCAGCGTACCAATCTCCTTTCTGGAGGGAGGGGATGATGGAGGCTAGGGTGACCATTCTGAACTTAGTTTTCCATATGAACGGGTTTAGATCCGTGAGATCTAGAATGGGGCGAAGGCCCCCTTTTGCTTTAGGGATGAGGAAATATCTGGAATAGAAACCCCTTCCTTTGAATTCTTTTGGAACAGTTTCCACTGCTCCGAGGTGTAGAAGCTTTGCTACCTCTTGTTTTAGCAGAACAGGTAGGTTGAGCAGGGTTTCGTGAGAGGAGTTCCTGAAGCGGGATGGGGAGGAGTGAGGGGGGCCGTGACGAAGGGAGGGAGGAAAAGAGAATTGAATAACCCTTTGCTATCAGGTCTAGAACCCACTGGTCTGAAGTTTGCTGGACCAGGCCTGGTAGAAACGGGATAAATGGAAACCAAAGTGGGGTAACTGATGTTTGAATGCTACGCTGTCCTTGAGCGTGCCCTTGAAATGAGGGTTTGGGGTGCTGTCCCTGAGATGTGATTGGTCTTTTATCCTGGTCTGATCTTGAACCCTTGTGTCTGTTTCGAGATGGATCATTTCTTATCTTGTTATGGCCTCTCCTTCTGCCCCGTTCAGAGTTGAACCCCTGTTGGAATGGCCTTCCCCGTGGTCTGGAGTTCAGGGGTCTCCTCAG